GTGGAAACTGAGTGCCCAAATGAGCCACAGAGATATTAGAAACAACTTTTTTAGTGTCAGAGTGGTTGACAAATGGAATGCATTAGGAAGTGATGTGGTGGAGGCTGACTCCATACACAGTTCCAAGTGTAGATATGATAGAGCCAAAAGGCTCAGGAATCTGTACACCTGTTGATTGACGGTTGAGAGGCGGGACCAAAGAGCTAGAGCTCAACCCCCGCAAACACAACTAGGTAAGTACAACTAGGTGAGTACACACACACACACACACACACACACACACACACATACACACACACAGGTAGGGGGGCCTCGTAGCCTGGTGGATAGCGCGCAGGACTCGTAATTCTGTGGCGAGGGTTCGATTCCCGCACGAGGCAGAACAAATGGACAAAGTTTCTTTCACCCTATGCCCTTGTTACCTAGCAGTAAATGGGTACCTGGGAGTTAGTCAGCTGTCACGGGCTGCTTCCTGGTGTGTGTGTGTGTGTGTGTGTGTGTGTGTGTGTGTGTGTGTGTGTGTGTGTGTGTGTGTGCGTGCGTGCGTGTGTGTGTGTGTGTGTGTGTGTGTGTGTGTGTGTGTGTGTGTGTGTGTGTGTGCGTGTGTGTGTGTGTGTGTGTACTCACCTAGTTGTACTCACCTTGTTGTGTCTGCAGGATCGAGCATTGACTCTTGGATCCCGCCTTTCGAGCATCGGTTGTTTACAGCAATGCCTCCTGTCCAATTTCCTTATCATACCTGGTTTTAAAATTATGAATAGTATTTGCTTCCACAACCTGTTCCTGAAGTGCATTCCATTTTCCCACTACTCTCACGCTAAAAGAAAACTTCCTAACATCTCTGTGACTCATCTGTTTCAAGCTTCCATCCATGTCCCCTCGTTCTGTTACTATTCCGTGTGAACATTTCGTCTATGTCCACTCTGTCAATCCCTCTGAGTATCTTATACGTTCCTATCATGTCCCCCCTCTCCCTTCTTCTTTCTAGTGTCGTAAGGCACAGTTCCCTCAGGCGCTCCTCATACCCCATCCCTCGTAGCTCTGGGACGAGTCTCGTTGCAAACCTCTGAATCTTTTCCAGTTTCATTATATGCTTCTTCAGATGGGGACTCCATGATGAGGCGGCATACTCTAAGACTGGCCTTACGTAGGCAGTGTAAAGCGCCCTAAATGCCTCCTTACTTAGGTTTCTGAATGATGTTCTAACTTTTACCAGTGTAGAGTACGTTGCTGTCGTTATCCTATTTATATGTGCCTCAGGAGATAGATTAGGTGTTACGTCCACCCCCAGGTCTCTTTCACGCGTCGTTACAGGTAGGCTGTTCCCCTTCATTGTGTACTCTCCCTTTGGTCTTCTATCTCCTAGTCCCATTTCCATAACTTTACATTTGCTCGTGTTGAATTCCAGTAGCCATTTCTCTGACCATCTCTGCAACCTGTTCAGGTCCTCTTGGAGGATCCTGCAATCCTCATCTGTCACAACTCTTCTCATCAACTTTGCGTCATCCGCAAACATCGACATGTAGGACTCTACGCCTGTAAACATGTCGTTAACATATACAAGAAATAGAATTGGTCCCAGCGCCGATCCTTGTGGTACTCCACTTGTTACTGTTCGCCAGTCCGACTTCTCGCCCCTTACCGTAACTCTTTGGCTCCTTCCTGTTAGGTAGTTCCTTATCCATGCTAGGACCTTTCCCCCCACCCCCGCCTGCCTCTCGAGCTTGAACAGCAGTCTCATGTGCGGTACTGTATCAAAGGCTTTTTGGCAGTCCAGAAATATGCAGTCTGCCCAACCATCTCTGTCCTGTCTTATCCTCGTTACTTTATCATAGAATTCCAGAAGGTTTGTTAGGCACGATTTCCCTGTCCAGAACCCATGTTGATGTTTGTTCACAAACCTAATGTTCTCCAGGTGTGCAACCAGTCGTAGCCTAATTATTCTTTCCAGTATTTTACAGGGGATGCTTGTCAGTGATACAGGTCTATAGTTAAGTGCCTCCTCCCTATCACCTTTCTTGAAGATCAGCACGACATTTGCCTTCTTCCAGCAACTGGGCAATTCTCCTGACATAAGTGACTCATTAAAGATCATTGCCAGAGGCACGCTGAGGGCCTGTGCTGCTTCTTTTAGTATCCACGGTGATACTTTGTCTGGTCCAACTGCTTTAGTTGCATCTAGAGTTGTCAACTGTTTCATTACCTCCTCTGCTGTCACCTCTATATCTGATAGTCTTTCATCTAGGGTAACCCCTTCCAACAATGGGAGCTGCTCAGGCTCGGTAGTGAACACTCCATGGAAACTGGCATTCAGTGCCTCGCAGATTTCCTTGTCACTTTCAGTATATGCCCCCTCTGTCTTCCTTAGTCTTGTCACTTGGTCGTTCACCGACATTTTTCTTCTTATATGACTGTGTAGTAACTTAGGTTGTTTTTTCGCTTTGATTGCAATATCGTTCTCATAGTCCCTTTCCGATGTTCGTCTTATGTTAATGTAATCGTTCCTAGCTCTGTTGTATCTGATCCTGTTGTCCTCTGTTCTTTGTCTTCTGTACTTCCTCCACTCCCGCCTGCTGGCCATTTTTGCTTCCTGACACTGTCTATTAAACCATGGGTTATTATATTCCTTCTTATTTTTTCCCTTTACCGTTGGTATAAATCTCTCTTCGGCCTCCTGGCATTTCTGTATGACTAGGTACATCATATCTTGGACTGTTTTTCCTCTAATTTCTTCCTCCCACTGCACTTCACCCAGATAGTCCCTTATCCTCTTATAGTCCCCTTTCCTGTAGTCAGCTCTTCTTTCCCAGATCTCTTGTCCCATGGTCATAAGTTTGAATTCCATCATGTAGTCAAAGACTAGGACACAATGGTCACTGGCCCCTAGAGGTATTTCATGCTCTAAATTCTCGATATCTTCTACGTTCTGGGTGAAAATCAGGTCTAATAGGCTCGGTGCATCTCCTCCTCTTTCCCTTGTGTCTTCCTTCACATGTTGTGTCAGGAAATTCCTGTCTATAACATCTACTAATTTTGCTCCCCACGTTTCGTCCCCTCCATGGGGATTCCTTGATTCCCAATTTATCTCTCCATGATTTAGGTCCCTCATGATCAGCAGCTTCGCTCTCATTCTGTGGGCTAGTGTTGCTGCCTTCTGCAGTTCATCTATACATGCTTTGTTGTTGTCATCATACTCCTGCCTGGGTCTTTTACTGTTTGGTGTGGGATTGTAGATTACCAAGATCACAATCTTCCTCCCATCTACTGTCAGAGTTCCATGTATGAAGCTTGTGCACTCATTGGTAACTCAATTTCCCAGGTCTTCAAACTTCCATTTCCGCTTTATTAGGAGTGCTACTCCCCCTCCCTGTCTCTGTGTCCTCTCTTTTCGTATCACCTGGTACCCTTCAGGAAAGATTGCATCTGAGATCATGTCATTAATTTTAGTTTCCACAATTGCAACTATGTCAGGATCTGCTTTATTAGATACCCCATCAGCATTGGTGTACCAAACCTTGAGATTCTTCATGGAAATTCTTGTGCCAGAGTTCTCCCTTTCTCTGGGGGTCTGGGGGGATCTGGGGGGTGTCTGGGGGTGACTGGGGGCAGGGGGGATCTGGGGGATCTGGGGGGTGTCTGGGGGATGACTGGGGGCGGGGAGGATCCGGGGGATGTCCGGGGGGATCCGGGGGGTGTCTGGGGGGGTCCGGGGGGTGTATGGGGGGTGAAAGAGGTCAGGAGGGGTGCTTGGGGGCTACTGGGGGCTGGGCTTCTAGGAAGGTAGGTAGGAGGGTCTGGGGTAGGGCCTGGGTAGGTAGGTCTGGAGTAGGAAGGGCATACTGGGTCTGTGTGTGTGTGTGTGTGTGTGTGTGTGTGTGTGTGTGTGTGTGTGTGTGTGTGTGTGTGTGTGTGTGTGTGTGTGTGTGTGTGGAAAAAATAAATAATAAAATAATAGTAGTAGTAGAAACAGTTGAGAGGCGGGCCGAAAGAGCAGAGCTCAACCCCCGCAAGCACAACTAGGTGAATACACACACCAGGAAGCAGCCCGTAGCAGCTGTCTAACTCCCAGATACCTATTTACTCCTAGGTGAACAGTGGCATCAATGTGAAAGAAACTCTGCCCATTTGTTTCCGCCTTCGTCGGGGATCGATCTCCGAACCCTAAGACTACGAATCCCAAGCGCTGTCCACTCAGCCGTCAGGTTCGTGTTTCGTATCAGGTGTGTGGAGTGAAGCTGTGTCACTCTGGCGTCTCCTCCGAGTGCGACACACACGAGGTAGAAGGTGACACATAGGTAACTTTCCTTTTCTGCTCTTGAGAAAAGATATCTCTCTTCAATGTATCTTTTTGGAATGGTGTGATGCGCGTTAGTCCACTAGTTATTGTTTGAACGTTACCAGGACTTGTGTGAGTGACCGTAGTCTTGTTCTTCATTCCTTGTTATGCCCTTGTTCTTCATCCATGTCATGCCCTTGTTCTTCATCCTTGTCATGCCCTTGTTCTTCATCCTGCCATACCCTTGTTCTTCATCCCTGCTATACCCTTGTTCTTCATCCCTGCCATACCCTTGTTCTTCATCCCTGCCATACCCTTGTTCTTCATCCCTGCCATACCCTTGTTCTTCATCCTGCCACACCCTCGTTCTTCATCCCTGCCATACCCTTGTTCTTCATCCCTGCCACACCCTTGTTCTTCATCCCTGCCACACCCTCGTTCTTCATCCTGCCATACCCTTGTTCTTCATCCCTGCCATACCCTTGTTCTTCATCCTGCCACACCCTCGTTCTTCATCCCTGCCATACCCTTGTTCTTCATCCTGCCACACCCTCGTTCTTCATCCTGCCGTGCCCTTGTTCTTCACCCTGCCACACCCTCGTTCTTCACCCTGCCACACCCTCGTTCTTCACCCTGCCACACCCTCGTTCTTCACCCTGCCACACCCTCGTTCTTCACCCTGCCGTGCCCTTGTTGTAAGCAGGTGGTTGGGTGGTCGTTACAGGTGTCGCCGAAGTGGGTGGTGGAGCCTGGAGACGGGACGGCGCTGGTGGGGGCGACGGTTGTGCTGGCCTGCAGCGCCCGGGGCTACCCTACACCTGTGCTCACCTGGATGAAGGCTCCAGGTAAGCGACAGGTCTTGTATCCCGTCACTTTCATGTGCTTGAGGAGGGCTGACTTGATTAAGATCATCTTCTAAGAGGCACCAAAGGCTTGACGACCTGCACGAGGTATCGAACCGGCAGCAATATACACGCCAGCCGTGAACGCAGCGCCCTAAACCACTGATGTGATGATTGTGGTGGGCGATCTGTTGATAACATTACCCCCACTACCTGTGCCCCTGATGAGTAGTAGCTTGAAGGCCATGCTCCCCACTACCTGTGCACTCTTTGGTCAAAACACGGGCCTGTAATTTTCACCTTCGGCTCGCTTATCTTCCCACTTAATCACTGTATTTTAAAAGTTTCCCCAATTCACACCCAATGGTCTGAAATGCATTATAACATTAACGTTCGTGTTCCTGCAGGAGAGGTGGCGCAGGACTTCCAGCCAGTGGTGGTGGACGGAGTGAGGTCCCTGCAGGCAGCGAACGGGTCCCTGGTCCTGCAGGATACCAAGACCAGTGACGCAGGATGGTTCATGTGTCGCGCCGCTAACTCCGTCGGAAAACCAATTACCAAAGTTGTTCAGCTCACTGTTCATGGTATGTGGCCCCCCCCCCCCCCAAGTGTTTTGACGGTGTTTGGTCCCCTCCCCCAAGTGTTGTGAGGGGCCCCTAAGTGTTGTGAGGGTGTGTGGGGGGCCACAAAGTGTTGTGAAAGTGTGGGCCCCCCAAGTGTTATGAGAGTGTGTGGGGCCCCCAAGTGTTGTGAGGGTGTGTGGACAAAGTAGGGCCTTGGTATTTGTAGGCTCAAAAGGGGGTAATGAGAGGGCCCTCAGGGAGGTTAGGGTGTGTGGACGCAAGGGAGGTCATGGTTGTACGGGCCGAGGTGGTGCCAAGGGCCCACTCGGGGGTTATAGGAAGTCTAAAAAAGGAAAGACTGGTTTATTAATACCTGTACCATTGAAAGAGGCGAGAGCTGGGAAGAATAACCTTTGGACAGAGAAAACGTACATCAATGGCCTAGAGAAGCGCAAACTACGTTAAAAGTTGGTAAACGAAAGAGAACGCAAGAATACATTGTCACACGTTAAAAACACTGAGAACGTCAGTACATACAACACACACAACCCAAGTAACCAAGAAAGTCAAATTCGCCAATAGTGCTACAAGGAAGGTTGTCAATACACATCATCGGGACATTTAAAACACATTAGGACACCTCGGAACATCTTGGCACTTCTCTCTACACCTCGGAACATCTTGGCACTTCTCTCTACACCTCGGAACATCTTGGCACTTCTCTCTACACCTCGGAACATCTTGGCACTTCTCTCTACACCTCGGAACATCTTGGCACTTCTCTCTACACCTCGGAACATCTTGGCGCTTCTCTCTACACCTCGGAACATCTTGGCACTTCTCAGGACACCTCGGAACATCTTGGCACTTCTCAGGACACCTCGGAACATCTTGGCACTTCTCTCTACACCTCGGAACATCTTGGCACTTCTCTCTACACCTCGGAACATCTTGGCACTTCTCTCTACACCTCGGAACATCTTGGCACTTCTCTCTACACCTCGGAACATCTTGGCACTTCTCTCTACACCTCGGAACATTTTGGCACTTCTCTCTACACCTCGGAACATCTTGGCACTTCTCTCTACACCTCGGAACATCTTGGCACTTCTCTCTACACCTCGGAACATCTTGGCACTTCTCAGGACACCTCGGAACATCTAAAGAACATAAGAACATAAGAATAATGGTAAGTGCAGAAGGCCTATTGGCCCATACGAGGCAGCTCCTATTTATAATCACCCAATCGCACTCATATACATGTCCAACCCTCGCTTGAAACAATTAAGGGACCCCACCTCCACCACACCACGTGGCAACTGGTTTCACAAATCAACACCTCTGTTACCGAACCAGTATTTACCCAAGTCTTTCTGAAATCTAAACTTATCCAGTTTATATCCATTGTTTCGTGTTCTGTCTTGTGTTGATACTTTAATGCCCTATTAATATTCCCTTTGCTCTGTCCATTTATCCATTTGTAAACTTCTATTATGTCACCCCCTAATTCTCCGCCTTTCCAGTGAATGCAATTTAAGCTTTGTTAATCTTTCTTCATATGAAAGGTTTCTAATTTGGGGGATTAATCATCCTACGCTGGATGCGTTCAAGTGAATTTATATCCATTCTATAGTACGGCGACCAACACTGAACTGCATAATCTAAATGGGGCCTAACCAGAGCAAGATATAGTTGAAGAACAACACCAGGTGTCTTGTTACTAACGCTTCGAATAATAAATCCCAGTGTCCTATATGCCTTATTACGAGCATTTATGAATTGATTTTTTGGGGGGGTTTTAAATTCTTACTAATCACAACTCCCAGATCCCTTTCGCAATCTCAACACCATCTAGCTCGTATCTAGTAACTCTATCATCACTACCTAGCCTCAAAACCTTACATTTGTCGGCCTTAAACTGCATCTGCCAATCTTTTACCCATTTCAAAACCCTATTTAGATCGCCTTGAAGTGATAGTGAGTCCCTTTCCGTATTTATTTCCCTCTGAAATTAAGTTTCTTCATTTCTCACGCTCCTCGAGACATCTTGGCACTTCTCAGGACACTTCGGGACATCTTAGGATTGTTCAAGACACGTTAGAATGACTGGGGATACCTTGGGTCACTTTAGGATAGCTTAATAAGACTGTTCGGGACGCCTCTGCGGTCCCCTTAGTAATGGTGTCATATGTGTCACGTTGTACTCGGACGCCTCGGGACCAAAAAGGCCACACAATAGTGTTACATATTATGTTATTGGCATCGAAATGTTGAATGAATGTGTCGATTATATTTCTTTAGTATCACATGTCTCAAAGACACGTTTTTTCCAGGACGCCTGTATGTCCAAGACACCTGCTTCCAAGGACACCTGTTTTCTATGACAATTCTCTCCATTATACATGTTTCCAGGACGCCTGTATGTCCAAAACACCTGCTTCCGTGGCACCTCTTTCATTTTCTTTTCGATTTTTGCTTAACACATCTGTTCCTTGCTCATCTGTCTCTTCCTTGGTGACAGCCCCAGCTCGCGTAGTGACGGAGGGAAGACGTGTGACGGGCCACGCTGGACAGACGGTGACGGTATCCTGCGAAGCTACAGGCGATGACCCTCTTACTCTTACCTGGCTCCGTCACCATGCTCCCGTCTCTCCAGGTCACAGGTACGCTCCCTCCCGTCTTTCAGGGTGACAGATACCCTCCCGTCTCCCAGGGCGACAGGTACCCTCCCGTCTCCCAGGGCGACAGGTACCCTCCCGTCTCCCAGGGCGACAGGTACCCTCCCGTCTCCCAGGGCGACAGGTACCCTCCTGTCTCCCAGGGTGACAGATACCCACCCGTCTCCCAGGGTGACAGGTACCCTCCCGTCTCCCAGGGCGACAGGTACCCTCCCGTCTCCCAGGGTGACAGATACCCTCCCGTCTCCCAGGGCGACAGGTACCCTCCCGTCTCCCAGGGTGACAGGTACCCTCCCGTCTCCCAGGGTGACAGGTACCCTCCCGTCTCCCAGGGTGACAGGTACCCTCCCGTCTCCCAGGGTGACAGGTACCCTCCCGTCTCCCAGGGTGACAGGTACCCTCCCGTCTCCCAGGGTGACAGGTACCTTCCCGTCTCCCAGGGTGACAGGTACCCTCCCGTCTCCCAGGGTGACAGGTACCCTCCCGTCTCCCAGGGTGACAGGTACCCTCCCGTCTCCCAGGGTGACAGGTACCCTCCCGTCTCCCAGGGTGACAGGTACCCTCCGGTCTCCCAGGGTGACAGGTACCCTCCGGTCTCCCAGGGTGACAGGTACCCTCCCGTCTCCCAGGGTGACAGGTAACATGGACGTATTCAAAATGAGTTATTCTTCATGTTTACCAAGAAAGTCCACTGGCGGATAAGACATTTTATCCAATTTTAAAATCGACAGAATTTTAAGCATTGTAATTAATGTACATAAATAGTCATTTCTATGTACTAAGTAAGCCTATGAAATTTTATATATATATATATATATATATATATATATATATATATATATATATATATATATATATATATATATGACCCATTATCACCACACCAGAAATAAATATCTCTTTTATATACCCAGAGTTAAACTTAATCTGTGTAAACACTCTATGCAAATAAAGGGACCCAGTTTATGGAACTCACTCCCTACTGAATTGAAAAGCTGTCCAACTTTTACATCATTCAAAATCAGTACTAAAAAGTACCTAATTTCATCTTCATAGTTTTTCACCTTTTGCCTTAAAATTGCACTGTATCAATTGCTACCCAATCTCCCAACCTTTATGTTCCCAATTTGAACATCTTTACCATTGTGATCATTGCTGTGTCTTATATGTGCTGCCAATCTGTTGTATGGTGTTTATAAATCTTGTTTAAATTACTAATCAAGCTGTCAATGTAATCAATCAGAACTTTAATATAACAATATGCTTTAATATACCTACTTATCTCTCTCATCTCATTTTTCTCTTGTAATGTATCTTTATCATTTATCAATTCTGATTGAAATTACCTACTTAAAATTATCTGCTAGATTAAGGACCTGCCCGAAACGCTGTGCGTACTAGTGGCTTTACAAGAATGTAAATACTGTACTATCCAATGTGTTCTCACAAACCCAATGTACCTTCTTGTATATATATAAATAAATAAATAAATATATATATATATATATATATATATATATATATATATATACATATATAATGTAATGTTAAATAGAAGACAAATTTATTATATTTTATGTTATATTTGTAAGAATTGTGCAGTGACTAAAAACATCTCTCTCTCTTCTTCGAAAAAAGTGACAATTATGTAATTAACTTTAAGTAAATCTGTCTTAATGATGTTATTGACAGACAACATGAGTTATTATATGAATGTAATTATTATTTTTGTTTAAATTTTGCCAGCAATATTTTTGAAAAAAATGGAGATTCTCAATTATATTAATGTTCAAAATTCATAATTAATTTTAATGAGCATAGCACTTGTCACTTACATGTCATGAATAAAGAACATTTTATTAATGAAAATAATTCTTGTGATTATAAAATTACCCGACATTAATTTTTAAAAATCTTGTGAAGATAAAATTTTAAAACGGTTCATACCGAAACAAAAATCTTTTAAAGAGTCGAGCTCCAGTTCCTGGGCCCCGCCTGTCTAACTGTTCAGCTAATACAATGACTCTTTCCCCCCAATTTTTGTAATATATACTATTGAAATTTTAATGAATACTAACTCTCATTCAGATTCATTCCATTCTCGTGTCTCATTCTGAACTTTTGGTATGTTTTTATGCTGTCAATTATCATGAGTATCTTTAGTATTAGTAGTATCTTTATCATGAGTATTATTTAGTATTATCTTTAGTATTATCTTTATCATGAGTATTATTTGCACTCGTCTTCTTCCCGTTTTCTAGCGTTGTGAGATGTATAGTTTCCTAGCATTGTATGTCCACATACAGCATACAATGACACATACAATTGTATGATCTCAGACAACATACAATGAAAGAATGCATAGTTCTCATTCTTTCCCGTCAGGTCCAGGACAGGCTCACTACCAAACATTTCTATGTGTGTATCAGTTGTACATTTGTATCAATCACTTGCGAACTTGTTTTTTTGTTTTTAGTAATGGAGCTGCTGGATCGCCTTGTTTGGTATTTGTTTAATTAAGGATCCGAGCCGTTGCTCCTAACTCCAATCCTGACCTTGAGGGGATAGTGAACGGTGTCCTAAAAGCTTCGGTGTCCAGGCGTCCTGTTTAATTGTCCAGGCGTCCTGTTCAGTTGTCCAGGCGTCCTGTTCAGTTGTCCTGGCGTCCTGTTCAGTTGTCCTGGCGTCCTGTTCAGTTGTCCAGGTGTCCTGTTCAGTTGTCCAGGCGTCCTGTTCAGTTGTCCAGGTGTCCTGTTCAGTTGTCCAGGTGTCCTGTTCAGTTGTCCAGGCGTCCTGTTCAGTTGTCCAGGCGTCCTGTTCAGTTGTCCAGGCATCCTGTTCAGTTGTCCAGGCGTCCTGTTCAGTTGTCCAGGCGTCCTGTTCAATTGTCCAGGCATCCTGTTCAGTTGTCCAGGCGTCCTGTTCAGTTGTCCAGGTGTCCTGTTCAGTTGTCCAGGCGTCCTGTTCAGTTGTCCAGGCGTCCTGTTCAATTGTCCAGGCATCCTGTTCAGTTGTCCAGGCGTCCTGTTCAGTTGTCCAGGTGTCCTGTTCAGTTGTCCAGGCGTCCTGTTCAATTGTCCAGGCATCCTGTTCAGTTGTCCAGCCGTCCTGTTCAGTTGTCCAGGTGTCCTGTTCAGTTGTCCAGGCGTCCTGTTTAATTGTCCAGGCGTCCTGTTTAATTGTCCAGGCGTCCTGTTCAATTGTCCAGGCGTCCTGTTCAGTTGTCCAGGCATCCTGTTCAATTGTCCAGACGTCTTGTTCAGTTGTCCAGACGTCCTGTTCAGTTGTCCAGGCATCCTGTTCAATTGTCCAGGCGTCCTGTTCAGTTGTCCAGGCGTCCTGTTCAGTTGCCCAGGCGTCCTGTTCAGTTGTCCAGGCGTCCTGTTTAATTGTCCAGGCGTCCTGTTTAATTGTCCAGGCGTCCTGTTCAGTTGTCCAGGCGTCCTGTTCAGTTGTCCAGGCGTCCTGTTCAATTGTCCAGGTGTCCTGTTCAGTTGTCCAGGCGTCCTGTTCAGTTGTCCAGGCATCCTGTTCAGTTGTCCAGGTGTCCTGTTCAGTTGTCCAGGCGTCCTGTTCAGTTGTCCAGGCGTCCTGTTTAATTGTCCAGGCGTCCTGTTTAATTGTCCAGGCGTCCTGTTCAGTTGTCCAGGCGTCCTGTTCAGTTGTCCAGGCGTCCTGTTCAGTTGTCCAGGTGTCCTGTTTAATTGTCCAGGCGTCCTGTTCAGTTGTCCAGGTGTCCTGTTTAATTGTCCAGGCGTCCTGTTCAGTTGTCCAGGTGTCCTGTTTAATTGTCCAGGCGTCCTGTTCAGTTGTCCAGGCGTCCTGTTCAGTTGTCCAGGCGTCCTGTTCAGTTGTCCAGGTGTCCTGTTTAATTGTCCAGGCGTCCTGTTCAGTTGTCCAGGTGTCCTATTCAGTTGTCCAGGTGTCCTGTTTAGTTGTCCAGGCGTCCTGTTCAGTTGTCCAGGTGTCCTGTTTAATTGTCCAGGCATCCTGTTCAGTTGTCCAGGCGTCCTTTTCAATTGTCCACGCATCCTGTTCAGTTGTCCAGGTGTCCTGTTCAGTTGTCCAGGCGTCCTGTTCAGTTGTCCAGGCGTCCTGTTTAATTGTCCAGGCGTCCTGTTTAATTGTCCAGGCGTCCTGTTCAGTTGTCCAGGCGTCCTGTTCAGTTGTCCAGGTGTCCTGTTTAATTGTCCAGGCGTCCTGTTCAGTTGTCCAGGTGTCCTATTTAATTGTCCAGGCGTCCTGTTCAGTTGTCCAGGTGTCCTGTTCAGTTGTCCAGGTGTCCTGTTCAGTTGTCCAGGTGTCCTGTTCAGTTGTCCAGGTGTCCTGTTCAGTTGTCCAGGCGTCCTGTTCAGTTGTCCAGGTGTCCTATTCAGTTGTACAGGCGTCCTGTTCAGTTGTCCAGGTGTCCTGTTTAATTGTCCAGGCGTCCTGTTCAGTTGTCCAGGTGTCCTGTTCAGTTGTCCAGGTGTCCTATTCAGTTGTCCAGGTGTCCTGTTCAGTTGTCCAGGTGTCCTATTCAGTTGTCCAGGTGTCCTGTTCAGTTGTCCAGGTGTCCTGTTCAGTTGTCCAGGCGTCCTGTTCAGTTGTCCAGGTGTCCTGTTTAATTGTCCAGGCGTCCTGTTCAGTTGTCCAGGTGTCCTGTTCAGTTGTCCAGGTGTCCTGTTCAGTTGTCCAGGCGTCCTGTTCAGTTGTCCAGGTGTCCTGTTTAATTGTCCAGGCGTCATGTTCAGTTGTCCAGGTGTCCTGTTCAGTTGTCCAGGTGTCCTGTTCAGTTGTCCAGGCGTCCTGTTCAGTTGTCCAGGTGTCCTGTTTAATTGTCCAGGCGTCCTGTTCAGTTGTCCAGGCGTCCTGTTCAGTTGTCCAGGCGTCCTGTTCAGTTGTCCAGGCGTCCTGTTTAATTGTCCAGGCGTCCTGTTCAATTGTCCAGGCATCCTGTTCAATTGTCCAGGCGTCCTGTTCAATTGTCCAGGCGTCCTGTTCAGTTGTCCAGGCGTCCTGTTCAGTTGTCCAGGTGTCCTGTTTAATTGTCCAGGCGTCCTGTTCAGTTGTCCAGGCGTCCTGTTCAGTTGTCCAGGCGTCCTGTTTAATTGTCCAGGCGTCCTGTTTAATTGTCCAGGCGTCCTGTTCAATTGTCCAGGCATCCTGTTCAATTGTCCAGGCGTCCTGTTCAATTGTCCAGGCGTCCTGTTCAGTTGTCCAGGCGTCCTGTTCAGTTGTCCAGGCGTCCTGTTCAGTTGTCCAGGCGTCCTGTTCAGTTGTCCAGGTGTCCTGTTCAATTGTCCAGGCATCCTGTTCAATTGTCCAGGCGTCCTGTTTAATTGTCCAGGCGTCCTGTTCAATTGTCCAGGCATCCTGTTCAATTGTCCAGGCGTCCTGTTTAATTGTCCAGGCGTCCTGTTCAGTTGTCCAGGTGTCCTGTTCAGTTGTCCAGGCGTCCTGTTCAGTTGTCCAGGTGTCCTGTTTAATTGTCCAGGCGTCCTGTTCAGTTGTCCAGGCGTCCTGTTCAGTTGTCCAGGCGTCCTGTTCAGTTGTCCAGGCGTCCTGTTTAATTGTCCAGGCGTCCTGTTCAGTTGTCCAGGCGTCCTGTTTAATTGTCCAGGCGTCCTGTTCAGTTGTCCAGGCATCCTGTTCAATTGTCCAGGCGTCCTGTTCAGTTGTCCAGGCGTCCTGTTTAATTGTCCAGGTGTCCTGTTCAGTTGTCCAGGCGTCCTGTTCAGTTGTCCAGGCGTCCTGTTCAGTTGTCCAGGCGTCCTGTTTAGTTGTCCAGGCGTCCTGTTTAATTGTCCAGGCGTCCTGTTCAGTTGTCCAGGCGTCCTGTTCAGTTGTCCAGGCGTCCTGTTCAGTTGTCCAGGCGTCCTGTTCAGTTGTCCAGGCGTCCTGTTCAGTTGTCCAGGCGTCCTGTTCAATTGTCCAGGCGTCCTGTTCAGTTGTCCAGGCGTCCTGTTTAATTGTCCAGGCGTCCTGTTCAGTTGTCCAGGCGTCCTGTTCAGTTGTCCAGGCGTCCTGTTCAGTTGTCCAGGCGTCCTGTTTAATTGTCCAGGCGTCCTGTTCAGTTGTCCAGGCGTCCTGTTCAGTTGTCCAGGCGTCCTGTTCAGTTGTCCAGGCGTCCTGTTCAGTTGTCCAGGCGTCCTGTTCAGTTGTCCAGGCGTCCTGTTCAGTTGTCCAGGCGTCCTGTTCAGTTGTCCAGGCGTCCTGTTCAGTTGTCCAGGCGTCCTGTTCAATTGTCCAGGCGTCCTGTTCAGTTGTCCAGGCGTCCTGTTCAGTTGTCCAGGCGTCCTGTTCAGTTGTCCAGGCATCCTGTTCAGTTGTCCAGGCGTCCTGTTCAGTTGTCCAGGCGTCCTGTTTAATTGTCCAGGCGTCCTGTTCAGTTGTCCAGGCATCCTGTTCAGTTGTCCAGGCGTCCTGTTCAGTTGTCCAGACGTCCTGTTCAGTTGTCCAGGCGTCCTTTTCAGTTGTCCAGGCGTCCTGTTCAGTTGTCCAGGCGTCCTTTTCAATTGTCCAGGCGTCCTGTTCAGTTGTCCAGGCGTCCTGTTCAGTTGTCCAGGCGTCCTTTTCAGTTGTCCAGGCGTCCTGTTCAGTTGTCCAGGCGTCCTTTTCAATTGTCCAGGCGTCCTGTTCAGTTGTCCAGGCGTCCTTTTCAGTTGTCCAGGCGTCCTGTTCAGTTGTCCTGGCGTCCTTTTCAATTGTCCAGGCGTCCTGTTCAGTTGTCCAGGCGTCCTTTTCAATTGTCCAGGCGTCCTGTTCAGTTGTCCAGGCGTCCTTTTCAGTTGTCCAGGCGTCCTGTTCAGTTGTCCAGGCGTCCTTTTCAATTGTCCAGGCGTCCTGTTCAGTTGTCCAGGCGTCCTTTTCAGTTGTCCAGGCGTCCTGTTCAATTGACCAAGAGCCTATACAGTTAACCAGCCATCGTGTTCATATATATGTTATCATATTCACTCTGGGGTGCTTGACGACCCTTGGGGTTGAATCCCTTTCATTTAGTACTAACGTTCTGATCTTATCACGCTCCCTTAGCCTCGTTACTTTGCATATGTCGGGGTTAAAATCAAGCAGCCATCTTTCAGGTCATGATTACATTTTGTCAAGGTACTCTTAGATTATTTTGGTTAGTGGAGCGACGGCCTTGTTTATTGCAGGGTCGGCGTTCGATTCCCGATGGTCCAAGTGGTTGGGCACCGCTCCTTATATCCTAGCTCCTTATCCTTATCCCAGCTTCATATCCCTTCCACTTATGGTCATACTGGCTTGGCGAGGTCTCATAATTATCTTAGCGTTCCTTGTTTAAATTACTGTTGTTGCAACGTGTTTGTGCGGGCGCGCGTGCAGGACATCGGTGCGCGAGAGCGAGGTAGGGAGCGTGGTGCGGGCTGTCCTGGAGATCCGGGCGGTGACATCAGGCGACGCCGGCCCCTACACCTGCCGCGCCACCAACCCTCACGGAGACCACTCCCACGTCTTTGACATCGCTATCATAGGTGGGTCCCTGTACATGTGAGCCTTCACTCCTCCCTCTCTCTACACCTGTACATGTGAGCCTTCACTCCTCCCTCTCTCTACACCTGTACATGTGAGCCTTCACTCTTCCCTCTCTCTACACCTGCACATGTGAGCCTTCACTCTTCCCTCTCTCTACACCTGTACATGTGAGCCTTCACTCTTCCCTCTCTCTACACCTGTACATGTGAGCCTTCACTCCTCCCTCTCTCTACACCTGTACATGTGAGCCTTCACTCCTCTCTCTCTCTACACCTGTACATCTGGCCGTACCCCTATCCCATCCTTCACCCATCATAGGCATCTCTCGTGATAAAAATGCCACATATGCTCCCACACACCTGTTGGCGCACACCTGTTGCACTTCGACGACCACCCCGGGTGGTATGGCTGTAGATGTGTGGTTGAAATGTAAAATAATGATTGTATTGTGTATACCGTGTGGATGTTGAGGCCCCTTGAGGAACCTGTGATATAAGAGGAGGCTAGACATAGCCTAATCTTCTCTATCCCTTTGGGACGCATTTTATCATCTCGATGAACAAGTTGGTGAACTCGTCATCCGTCCCTCCCCCCCCCCCCCGTCCCAGCACATCAAACCGCCCCATTAATAACCCCGCTAATCTTGACCACCTCACCCGCCCCCCTCCACCGGCACTGCCCAGCCGCTCCCTACACCCTCCACCCCCCCCCCCACCGCCCCCTAACCCCCAAACACACTAATCCTTCCCCCTCCCCCACCCCCTCCCCCACCCCCTCCCCCACCCTCTCCCCCACCCCCCTCCCCCACCCCAAAAGAAAACATACACCAAACCCTTTCTTTACATATTCAGTCCCCCGCCCCAGGGGGCTACACCCCCCTCTTTCGGGCCCCCCCCCCCTCTTTCGGGCACCCCCCCCTCTTTCGGGCCCCCCCCCCTCTTTCGGGCCCCCTCCCCTTCCCCACCGGGTTTCTCCTTTCCTCCAACACGCCCCAGCAAAATATCATAAGTTCCTATAGCCTCAGAATGTATTACTAATATATGTATAAATATGGACAACGAGTGAGAGAGACTGAGAATGAGAGAGGCAGTGAGTGTGTGTGAAGGAGAGGTGGAGCAGCGAGCAAAGTGCCAGGACTGAGGCCCTCCTCGTCCTCCTCCTCCCACAGAGCCGCCCACAGCGCCAGCAGGCGTGAGTGTGAGTGAGGTGACCAGCCGCTCCGCCGTCGTCTCCTGGATTCTCCCGCAGCCTGCTGCTGTCACCATACAGTACCGGGGTGAGTCACTATATGGCTGCTGTCACCATACAGTACCGGGGTGAGTCACTATATGGCTGCTGTCACCATACAGTACCGGGGTGAGTCACTATATGGCCTCCTGTCACCATACAATGCCAAGGTGAGTCACTATAACAACTGTCACAATATAGTAAATCTCGACGATGTCAATGTAGTGAAACCCTCATCATACAACTTGTGGGTTGCATAACTATTTCTCTGACAAACATTCATTATTATTAAATAAGTGTATGCGAGAGGTAAGCCTGAATACAATTTATCCTTTTTACTTTAAGATTTCAGCTGTTTTGCTTTTTCATATGTACAATTTTACTGATTCTGAGTTTTGGTGGGAAATAATCCCGCGAAAATGTTGGCGGGAAATATTGCCGCGGAAATGTTGGCGGGAAATATTGCCGCGGAAATGTTGGCGGGAAATATTGCCGCGGAAATGTTGGCGGGAAATATTATACGTGAGGGCTGGTCAGCTGTTTTAGTTGTGGCTTAAACGTAGAGTGTCCCCGTGAATACAGCTGTTTCATCCATGGCCAGCGTCGGAGGAGGAGTCGTGGGCTGTCCACGGGAGGAACGTGAGTGTGGGCCAGTGGGCCACATCACACGTGCTGACAGCGCTGGCCCCCTACAGGACGTATGCTGTCAGGCTCATGGCCCACAACGACCTTGGCGTGTCGCAGCCCTCTTTAGTCCACGTCTTCACCACTACTGAGGAAGGTTAGTGTCCCCGGCCTCCCTCAAGCTGTGTCCCCGGCCTCCTTCTAGCTGTGTCCCCGGCCTCCCTCAAGCTGTGTCCCCGGCCTCCTTCTAGCTGTCTCTACCTAAAACTGTGGTCCTCCCTCCCTCCCTCCACAACTTCAGGGCCCCAAAGAAAGGTTGGTAGTGCTGTCTGAATCACAGAGTAACGTCCACTGATAGGAATATTGGTTTTAAAATTATATATACACAAACATTTGACAAGATAACCTGACACGCGATGATTAGCGTTGTCGCTCACTAGCGTAGCATATAATTAATTGTAAATAATAAATTAAAAAGTCCACTCGTGGATGTCAACCAACAAATTCACACTAAACATATAAAAGACATACTATATTTTATTGACAATACATCATCAAATCAAATTCAACTTCAGATAGACAATGTTAACTTTAGCCATAAAAATGAGGGAAAGCTCCTTGGCCTGTAGCCAAGAGACTGGACATAGGCAAGACATAGACAAGAGACTGAATGTCAGCACCCACATACAACACATAGCCAAAAAATAGTCTAAAAATTTGTCGGTATTCTTTCTTAAATCAGATATTATGTTCCCCCACTCTGCTCTCCTCTCATTATACTTCCGCTAATCTATCCCTATCTTACATATGATATCTGTGCATGGGGTTCAACCACTGCAAATTACCTCAAGCCCATCATCACCCCCAGCCATCCCGGCTACCTCCCCCCCTCCCCCCCCCCCCGGCTACCCTGGCCACCCCAGCCACCACCACTACCACCATTAGCACCCCTACTACCACCACCACACACGGCCAGCAGTAAGAATGGTAATAAGAATCTTCCTTTCGAGAAAATTCACAGGAGCTGTGAAGAGGATTCGAACCTATACGCTGGGTATTCCCAGACACACACTCTAAACGACTACTTCATGACATGGTCAAAGGAATTGCAACCTGGGGTACTACTGCACCCACGAGGATTCCTGAGGCGTCCACTGAAGCCGAACTAGGGTTTCACATAATTCCCCCCCCCCCCTTTCACACTGGCTCTGCCGTCCAGTAACTCTACCTATGTCACCTCTCTTTCAATACACAGAGAAATCACATTATAGGTATATATCAATAAGAAAATCGACAGAAGCCATAATGTGGATTCGAATCTATGTTGTAGTCGTTTAGAGTGTGCGTCTGGGAACACCCAGCGCATACGTTCAAATCCTCATCACAGCTCCTGTGGATTTTCTCATCGATATATCGCAATAATGTTATCTCTCTGCGAATCTTCCTCTTCTCAAAGAAGTTCACTTACACCAATTACCTTCGCTGTATAAACCTTAAGATCTCACGAGCATTGTTAAGTTTTATACAGATATATGTGATTATATAATATCTACCCGAGGGCCACTCAATCTACTGGAATTAACGGAAACATGAAAACGGTGATTTGTTGAAGTTTCCCCTCCTCCTGAAGAAGAGAACTTCCTGTATTACAACTACCACCTGGTGGATAGCGCGCAGGACTCGTAATTCTGTGGCGCGGGTTCGATTCCCGCACGAGGCAGAAACAAATGGGCAAAGTTTCTTTCACCCTAAGTGCCCCTGTTACCTAGCAGTAAATAGGTACCTGGGAGTTAGTCAGCTGTCACGGGCTGCTTCCTGGGGGTGGAGGCCTGGTCGAGGACCGGGCCGCGGGGACACTAAAGCCCCGAAATCATCTCAAGATAACCACTGTGCTGAAAGTGCAGGAAATGTAGTTATTCTCTTTGATTCAAAGTCTGGTCCTTAAGCACTTTAAAACTTCACCGGCAAGGCAGACCCCATGAACCCCATAACGCCATATTCTACATTATAAAATGTCCTAAAAGTATTGTTGCAATAATCTTTATGGCAATGTACATATTTTCATACACCCTAAGAGTACTTTAATATGTAAAAGTACGTTTATAATTACGATTATTCAGTAGTGGGTCAAGGTCAAATCATACAGTTTCGCACAAAGCTTGTTTTCTAATTGTTAAAACTATATGTAGCTTTGGACTGGGCAAACCCAAAGCTACATTTATGCTGGGCAAGGATGGATTAGGTTAGGTTGCTGTGGCTAAGTTGGGGTTGGGTTGGGATGAGTTAGGTTAAGCTGTTCAACAAAACAGCTTTAACCGTTTTTCTCAGTGCAACAAAAATATTTTTAGCCATGTGTATGAAATGTCCTAAACGCCGTCTGCTGCAAAAGTTTCACGCACATTGTATCTTCCTTCAGCGCCGTCAGGAGCGCCGCAGGACGTGCGCGTGGCTGTGGGAGGTCCTCGCTCCCTGCTAGTGACCTGGAGGGCGCCGCCCCCGCAGCTGACTCACGGCCCCCTCAGGGGATACACCCTTGCCCTCCGACGCCAGAACCTGCAGGGGCACCTCACCTTCATCACCAGGCCCGTGACGGGTGAGTGGCCAGGGACCCCATGACGGGTGAGTGGCCAGGGACCCCGTGACGGGTGAGTGGCCAGGGACCCCGTGACGGGTGAGTGGACAGGAACCCGTGACAGGTGAGTGGCCAGGGACCCCGTGACGGGTGAGTGGCCAGGGACCCCGTGACGGGTGAGTGGCCAGGGACCCCGTGACGGGTGAGTGGCCAGGGACCCCGTGACGGGTGAGTGGCCAGGGACCCCGTGACGGGTGAGTGGCCAGGGACCCCGTGACGGGTGAGTGGCCAGGGACCCCGTGACGGGTGAGTGGCCAGGGACCCCGTGACGGGTGAGTGGCCAGGGACCCCGTGACGGGTGAGTGGCCAGGGACCCCGTGACGGGTGAGTGGACAGGAACCCGTGACAGGTGAGTGGCCAGGGACCCCGTGACGGGTGAGTGGCCAGGGACCCCGTGACGGGTGAGTGGGTAGGGACCCCGTGACGGGTGAGTGGCCAGGGACCCCGTGACGGGTGAGTGGCCAGGGACCCCGTGACGGGTGAGTGGCCAGGGACCCCGTGACGGGTGAGTGGCCAGGGACCCCGTGACGGGTGAGTGGCCAGGGACCCCGTGACGGGTGAGTGGCCAGGGACCCCGTGACAAGTGAGTGGACAGGGACCCCGTGACGGGTGAGTGGACAGGAACCCGTGACAGGTGAGTGGACAGGAACCCCGTGACAGGTGAGTGGACAGGGACCCCGTGACGGGTGAGTGGCCAGGGATCCCGTGACGGGTGAGTGGCCAGGGACCCCGTGACGGGTGAGTGGCCAGGGACCCCGTGACGGGTGAGTGGCCAGGGACCCCGTGACGGGTGAGTGGCCAGGGACCCCGTGACGGGTGAGTGGCCAGGGACCCCGTGACAGGTGAGTGGACAGGGACCCCGTGACGGGTGAGTGGCCAGGGACCCCGTGACAGGTGAGTGGACAGGGACCCCGTGACGGGTGAGTGGCCAGGGACCCCGTGACGGGTGAGTGGCCAGGGACCCCGTGACAGGTGAGTGGACAGGGACCCCGTGACGGGTGAGTGGCCAGGGACCCCGTGACGGGTGAGTGGCCAGGGACCCCGTGACGGGTGAGTGGCCAGGGACCCCGTGACAGGTGAGTGGACAGGGACCCCGTGACGGGTGAGTGGACAGGAACCCGTGACAGGTGAGTGGACAGGAACCCCGTGACAGGTGAGTGGACAGGGACCCCGTGACGGGTGAGTGGCCAGGGACCCCGTGACGGGTGAGTGGCCAGGGACCCCGTGACGGGTGAGTGGCCAGGGACCCCGTGACGGGTTAGTGGCCAGGGACCCCGTGACGGGTGAGTGGCCAGGGACCCCGTGACGGGTGAGTGGCCAGGGACCCCGTGACAGGTGAGTGGACAGAGACCCCGTGACGGGTGAGTGGACAGGAACCCGTGACAGGTGAGTGGGGTTGCTCCCCACTCCTTCACCCCCATTTTTAATGTCAATTTAGTGTTTAAAATGAACTCGGTAAAATATATTTCAATAAAATATTCCGCTTCTGCTCTTGTAATTGTCCCACGTTAGACAATTCATAACAGAACTTTATAAAGTAACAATTTAGATTTTATCTAAACTGGGTTTGTTTTACCTTCTTAATATTATTTTCCTTTGTTTTTCCTTGCCTTTCATGTCTTACTGGTTAACTATGCTCCTGTCCTGAACGGTCTGCTTGGTTAATTGCCAGTTTACACCGCCTTCCTCTCGTCTCCCTATTTATATTTGTTTGGTGTTCGTCTAATTTACACTGATCAAGTAAAGTGACCGAAAGTACTTGACGAACATCATGCTTCAATGTGGTTCATTTGTAAGATGATGAATACACAAATTACCCATTAAGGTCATATTACTCATTTATAGATAAATATATATATTTATACATATATCTATTAAGATGCAAATGAACCTCAATGATATAAAAACAAAATAATTTGAGTACTTTCGGTCCCTTTGTGCTCAATGTCAGTCAAAAATATAACCCGGAAATCAGCGACATATTTGAAGAGACTGAGGTGGGTGTGTTGGGTGACAGATGTGGAGAGTGTGGAGCAGTACGAGGTGCAGGGCCTCACGCCGGCGACGCTGTACGAGGTGGCCGTCAGAGCCTTCACCAGAGCGGGTCCTGGACCACTCTCCTCCCCCAGAATCGTTGACTCCACAAGCCACGAGGGTAAGTCCTCCCATCTAATTTTTTTTATCATCCTCCCATCCCATTTTTGTAGGAATCGATCACTTCGTTTAAAGTATGGGGCACTATTAACAATTATTGAATGGTAATTTTAACGTTTTCAATGTATTGGCTTTGATAGGCTGAGATTCTTGGGCTCTTAACTTTGTGTTTAGGCAAAACAGTTGTATTTTTTACAGTGGCAAATAGGGAGAATGGACTGTTATGTGTATGGGGCTATTCGTGTAGGTTATTTAGCTAAGCAAGATAGTCTTGATGAGCTAGTTACAAAATTCGCTGCACATCATCACATAAACAATGGGCTCGAGACTGACCACAAGTACAGTCTCTAAATTAAGCAACTGACATATATGGAGAGCTAAGGTCACAATTGATGTTTATCCTGCACACTACCCCTTAACCAGTGGGCAGCGGTGGAAAGGTTACACTCTGCAATAGTGGGTCTTCCTCATGATTCACCGCCTAATGTTTCCACCTTGTCTGTATTCTATCCGTCGTCAGTGTCACTTCTCCATGCCTCCTCCCTCTTCTTGGTTTTTCTGTCCTCTGTGACCTCCTTTCCTTATTGACTCGTCTATCTTCTCGGCCTTCTGTCTTTTGGTCCTCCTCGACACCTGTCCATCCAAGCTGATGTCCATCCCCCTCCCAGCCAACTTCGTGTTCCTCCCTGGCAGGTAAAAAGGCAATGGTTCATCCCCAAGCTTTTTACTTCCACCACTGTCTCTCCTCCCATCTCGAAGGCAACGTTCACTGCCCCACAATGGAGACTCCAATGACCCTTGCTTCCTTCTCTGGTGCTGTCTTTGATAAAGTGTACTCCACTGTATGTCCTCCCTCACCCCGTTCCCTTCACTGCCACTCTCCGATGCCTCCTCCCACACTAGACTGTCAATTTAGTGTGAGAGGATATGTTTCACTTCTTGCCGCTCCCTCGTCTTGCCCATTATTGCTAGCTTTACCTATAGCACCTCCTCCTGATTTCACTAATGCTGATATTCAATAGTGTGTTTATTTGACTTTAGTTTTTCCGTTTCGTTCATTCCTGTTATCTCTGTTCTTAACTGACTATTCTTCAACGGAATATACGTGGTTTGTATGGCACCTTTCAAGAACTTCTGATCTCACAGTTTTCATTTCTTTGTGTACATCTCAAGGAGCCATATGCTTGATGCTCGTCCTGGTCACCTTTGTGGTTATTTCTTTCTCTTTCCCTCCAGCTTTTGCTGGGACCCTCTAACTCTACTGCTGTCTTGATCCATAATTGCATTCTTTGTTCCCCCTGCCTTTTCAGTCTAACATTCCTTCCTATGCTGCCTATATCTTTGTAAGTAAATGGTACATCGTCTTTTCCATTTATCTCCCCGCTAAATATTCTGCTTTCTCTTCCAGATCTGATACTCATTACCTGAACCTGTGCTCATTTAGGGTGATTGTAACTGTCGACATGCTCTGTGGTGACCTGACAAGTACCTGTGGCCGCCTTCTCAAACCTTTCATCAAACCTCTTCTTTGTTGTCTCTTCCGAATTCTGGCGAGCCAATTCACATTGACTCCCACACTGGCACCCTTTTCCCTGTCTTTTTCTTTCTCTCTACTCTCCTATTTATTTACACTTAACATGGAAGGTTATTGACCTCCATAAAGGACCATTTCCCCATCCTCGTTACCTTCTTTTTTCTCTGTTTTCCCCTCTCTTTCCCCTAGGTGATAGTTTGACGAGGCTGACTGGATTCTATTCACTATTCTCTTTCCGACCTCTCTGATCAGCCTCTCCCTCGAGCCCCTAATTCTTTTTCACGAAGCGGTATTCGATGTTGCTCATCTGTTCCTCGCTCTACCTTCCATGGCACTCGAAAGTGCATTCCCTGGTGAAATTCAAACTATGTTCAGGCTGTCTGCTGTAAGCGTGCAGCCTGGAAAACACACCGAGTGAAATACACCTGAGTGTTTTTTGTTTTTGTTTCGGAAGGAGAGTGTGGTGGCCCATAGGGTCAACTATATAGCTTGAGTGTTGTTTATCTTATATCTCAACCATTATGGTTACTCTCCCTCAGATCTGGAAGAAAATCCGTTAGAAAATCCGTAAGTTTGTTCCAGACATGTCTCCTGTCCTTCATCTCCATGGTTCTGTCGTGGCAGATGCGAAATACATCGCAAACGAACTAGGTTCGCACTTTTCAACTGTTATCTCTGGTTCTTATTTTCCTTCTAATTTTCTTACTCATAAGCCCCCAAATGAATCTCAGATCTTAGTTTTTAGCACTGCCTCCATGCCAAGGCCGTATTTGTATGCGAAAGCGGTGTTTGACGAGCATTTATAACCATATTTGGTAGGAGTCAGTACCCGAGGATTGGGTCCAATCACTTGGGCTTGACGGCAGGGCGACAGTCAGGCTTCATGCAGGTCGGTGTTCAATCCTCGACTGCCCAAGTGGTTGGGGACCATTCTTTTACCCCCCCCCCCCCCCCCGTCCCTTCCCAAATCCTTCTCTGGATCCCTTCCAAGTGTTATATAGTCGAATGGCTTGGCACTTTCTCCTGATAGTTTCTTCCTTTGTCCTGAGGACTGGCTTGAAGCAGTCAAGCCTCAACCATTTCCGAATGGTTCTTCCTATTCGGAAATCTGGTACTCGAGGGACTTTCCCTAAGGATTTTCACCCTATTGCCCTGATGGGTTGCATCTGCAAAATTGTGGAACGTATAGTCAATGTACATCTGATGTGGTTCCGGAACACTGTCGCCACCTCTCCCACCTCTCAATTTGGGTTTTACAAGTGTCGCAGCAGGACATGCTTTAGTGGACTTACAGGTCAACATTCATGCTGCCTTTGCTGCAAAGACCTCCATTGATGCCATTCTTTTTGACCTGGAAAAGGCTTATGACATAACCAGGAGATACCATATTCTGTCCCATCTACGTTCTTTTGACCTTTGTGTCAATCTCCCTCTTTTCCTTCAAAGCTTCCTTTCTAGTCGTTCATTTAAAGTGAGACTGAAATATGAAAGTGTTCCCCAAGGTATTGTTCCGAGCACTTCTCTTTTATTTTCCTGGTTGCCCTCAATGGTCTTCCTTCCTTATTTTCTTCCCTATGGGATTTTTTCGGTCCTTTGTGTTTACAATCTCACCGTCTGCTGTCGCGGTGATGACTCACCTTTCCTCCAACACAGCTTCAACTTGCAAATGATGCCGTGTCGTTCTGGGCCACAAATCATGGTTTAAAGTTATCTGCAACTAAAACTTGCACAGGGACGTTTACTTGGAAGCAGGTCATTCATCGTCCCACTTTGTCACAGTATGGTAGTCCTCTTCTGTATAAAGATTCTTCTAAAATTTTGAGGTTATTCTTTGACATGCGTTTGTCTTGGTCTCCTCACATCTCTTTCCTCAGAGTTCAATGCTCTAATAACCTTGCCTTAGTCTTGTCCCATACCTTCTGAGAAGCAAATACATGCACTCCTCTATCTGCATTCCTCTCTTGTGCTGCCTAAACTCGATTAAGGCTGTTTCACTACTCTTTTTGCCTCTCCTTCGACTCTTCTTCTTGATGCTCACCACCATACTGAGTTACGCTTCTCCTCTGGTGCCTTTCAAATCAAATAAAATCAAATGTTTATTTAGGTAAGGTACATACATACAAAAGATTTTACAAAGAGTGATGGATTTATAGATAGGGCTAGTACATACAATGCCTAAAGCCACTATTACGCAAAGCGTTTTGGGCATTTCTTTCGTTTATCCCCTTCTCTGAGCCTGTATGCTGAAGCCGGAATCCTGTCTCTACAGGGTCGTTGTGATCGTTACTGCCTTCGCTGCCTTGCGCGGTCCCTGCAAACATCCTCACTCTCACTTATGCGATTCTTTGAAAGTTACCTCTCATGTGGGCCCCTCTTCCCTTTAACTGCCTTCATTTTTTTCTGTGCGGATGTCTCGTTTTTAAGATTCCCTCTTGGTTCATGTTAGCAATATATCTCCTCGTGTCGTTCCATCCTTGTCCCCATCAAGGGTCCCACTTGCAAAGTTTTGCAAGACCTTGACCCACATGACAAAGGCTTCTACCCCTCCTACAGTTATGAAACGCCTTTTCCTGAACACATTGAACTCCCGCTCCATCGTTCTCTTTAAAGATGGGTCTAAGTCTGTCGACGGTGTAGACTACTCTGTTGTCTTTCCTGATCAAATTTGTGTGTGCTGAAGGTATTCCTTAATGAGATTTCTACCTAGTCATTCATTCCACCATCCCAGATTGCTGGCAGGGTCGATGGTCTGAGGTTGCAGGTAACAAACTACACACTCTTTGAGGTAACCTATCGCCTAGGCGTACTAGACGGAGGGAAATGGCTTTAACTAGGTTACGTACTGGCCATGCATGCTTAACTCAAGGACATTTAATGGAATGCTGCCCTGCTCCATATTGTCCTAACTGCATTGTCTCACTTAGTCGTGTACCTCCTTGTGGAATGTCCAGATTTTCAGGACGATCGTGTGTCTTGCTCTCTTAGTGTCCCTCGAGGACATGTGTCCCTTGACAAAATCCTTGGTGAATCCAATACCTCTGTTATTGCTCGACTTATGTTATTTTGTCCGCATAAATTTTGACTTTTAGCACCTTTTTGAATATCCAGCAAGACTGATGGTGCTTCATAGTCTCACCAGCATGGTGCTTTCTTTTGATAATTACTTGTCCGTCAGCAGCGCCACTGGCTGGAGACCTGGTGACTGATCTGCATAATGTAGCTCTCAACCTTCCGTGTCGTAATGACAGCTCCTGGTCTAGTGGCTAGAGCATGTTGTGTTACGGCTCTGCACGTGTGTAACCCCACCTAGTGCTCTAACGACTGAACCTATATATATATATATATATATATATATATATATATATATATATATATATATATATACACATGGGGATTTCCGCTAGTGACCTGGTCAACCAAAATAGTGGTATTTAGGAGTCTTTTTGTGGTAGACTCTTTTTTGGGGGCTGCACCATTTAAGTGTTGGGTCGTCTCTGGTACGAGAAGGTTGTGTCAGGGGTTCTGACTCGGACCTGCTGATGATAGGGATTTTTAAGCTGAGAAACTCTTACCTGAAGCAACTCCTGAGATTTATAAGGGGACTCGCCTATCCCTAGTGAAAAATACTGCCCACTGAACGTAAGGAAGTGACTGACACCACAATGACTATGAACCTAAGGAAGTGATTGACACCGCAGTGTTAGTCGTCAACTTCGTCTAGTCAAGTGTTCACAATACTGTTTACATATCTGTGCTCAGATTTTGATTATGAGCATGAAACTTTTTTTTTATCAAATAGATTCCATTGTTCTCAAAGAAATGTTGCCAAGAAAGTTTTTGAACTACAGGTAGAGCTGAAGCCGTTCTTCAGTCGTAATGTCAAGGAGAAGTCTCAGATGTTCCGCGCAGAGTTAAGTGACCCAAAGTGGGTTATTCATCTTACTTATCTTGATGGTATATCTGCTAAATGTTCTCGACAAATCTTTGCAAGGAAGGTGATGTTGTCGCTGACTTTGCCAGAGTTGCACCACAACACGGACTAAAGCAAGGGAAGGATCTCGACATGTGAGAGACTCGTTGGCGTGCAGGACGCCTCTAATGTTGGCGTGCAGGACACCTCTAATGTTGGCGTGCAGGACACCTCTAATGTTGGCGTGCAGGACACCTCTAATGTTGGCGTGCAGGACGCCTCTAATGTTGGCGTGCAGGACGCCTCTAATGTTGGCGTGCAGGACGCCTCTAATGTTGGCGTGCAGGACACCTCTAATGTTGGCGTGCAGGACGCCTCTAATGCACAACACGCGCCAAATTTAATAATGATCACCTCACTGCAAAATGAAGCAAGAAGATACTTTCCATGAATGTGTGAAAATGATTAAAGTTAGAACAATTATATAATATTTTCGTGAATATACCTGAAGGCCACTAACTTTCTGTACCTCGACGAGGACAGAAAGCCAGTGGCTTGTCGAAGGTCCCCCCATTTGCTGTGATGATCTTCTTCAGTTGGACTTTAAAATTTAACAATTTTGGCATTTACGGCTTCGGTGGGTAGGCAGTTCCAATGGGTTAATAACCCTGTGGGTGAAAAAGCATCTCCTGTTCTCAGTCCTACATTGTAGCTTGTTGAGCTTGAAACAGTTACTCCTTGTTTGTTGTACATCTAACCTCTTGAAAAAATTGTCCGGATCAACATCCTCTAAATTGTTCAGTATTTTAAGTTTCAATGAGATTCGCCCTGCCATGCCTGGTTTGTAGTGTTGTTAGCCCCGTGGCCCTCAATCGTTCCTGATACACGAGTTGACTTAGCTCTGGAATGATTTTTGTTGCCCGGTGTTGCACCTTCTCCAGAGCAGCTATGTCCTTCTGAAGATGAGGTCTCCATGCTTGTATACAGTAATCCAAATGGAGGCACACCATAGATTTATACAATTGGATCGCTACCTTCTTTTCCTTAAAGTCAAGGATACGCTTCATTATTCCATACAGATATGGCTATCAAGGAATGATAGGAGCTGCAAACATCTCCTGGAGGGCGCTAATAGGTGAACATCTCCTGGAGGGCGCTAATAGGTAAACATCTCCTGGAGGGCGCTAATAGGTGAACATCTCCTGGAGGGCGCTAATAGGTGAACATGGCATGGAAGCATCACGGCAAAACTTCAAAAAGGTCATCACGGAACTCTTTTAAAAATGTGCAAAAAAATAGAAAGAAGAGAAAGGGTAATAATAGCTAATCAAGAAATAATCATTCATTGATTATTTCATACAGATATGGATTCTGTTGGTGATATTCAGGAAGATTTTTTTAATCTTGTGGACGTCTCCAGTGTTCGAGATCTCTCTATGAGAAAGAATCTGTGGTAAGAAGCTGTGGGGTAAGATACCCAAGACGCACCCACGTGCTGCAGAGGAAGCTCTTGGCTCTTCACTAATCCCAGTCACATGTTTCTGGGAATCTGAATTTTGCAGCTTCTCGAAATCTAAAGGAACATCTCTACTGCGTGTGGAGGCCGACCCTCGCTGAGCCTCGACCAAAACGTCTCCTGGGCGCCTTAGACTGCCAGATCACCAGCCATCATAATAATTAACTGTGCAATTAAGGCCTTATTATTAGTATATAAAAAAGTGATGAGATCACAGCTGCAGACTTGTCCTTCAGTCTTTGTGTAGTTTATATATGAAATATTTTCTTAAAAGGATTAATTACGCTTTTCAACATTTTAAATCCAGTACATTAGCCTTGAAATTAATAAAACACAAGCACAGATGAGTAATCCTGGTGACCCGGACTCGCCTATGTTGGTCACCCCCTGCTCCCCATCTCGCCGGTCACCCTGTAATGTTGGGTGAGGCTAGCCGCTAGCATCTGACCGCCAGCCGTGGACAGACGCTCATAGATATATATATATTCTCCTCCCGCAGCGCCGTCATGTCCGCCGGCAGGAGTGTCGTGCCGCGGGTCAGGGCGGGGCGGGGTGCGGGTGTGGTGGTCGCCCCCACCTACACACTGCGCCCACGCCCCCGTCCAAGGCTACACCATCATCGCCACGCCCACCACCCACTCCCACCACGCCACTGACGGTAAGTTTCACCCCTGTAACGCCCACTTGTCACGTCAGTAGTGGGACTCAATGTATTCGTTTGCCTTGTTCGGGGTAGAAGGTAGACACAGTAGTCGCTTCTGTATATATTTATTGACTGAGATAGCAAGGTATATATCTGCCTAGCCGAGGTCCTTCTACTCTGAGTCTGTGAGGATAACTGAGGCTGCTGGGAGCATGCCTGATGCTCCTCTGTCTGGCATGACGTCAGAGGCCTACTCGCCTGTGATTGGTTACATTTCAACTGACAGAATTTGAGTATAACACCGCTCGGACACGCTACCAAGTCGACGTCCCTTGTCGACAAGCTCTGGCTAGCTATATAGTTACAATGATACTGAAAGGACCTCGGTGGCATTCAATAATGGCTTACATGTGAAATTTGCATAATAAAACATTGAAAGAAGATCAGGTGTGCGTAATACTAACAACTCGGCATATATGCACCAAAAAAAAATTCATCATAATAGGTGAAAATCATGGTAACAATTCTTTGATTAAACCAGAGTATTAAGAACATGTGTATGTCTACTGATCAGATATGAACAATACAACTCAAGGTATTGCCTAAACAAAATTATTAACATGTGTCAATGGCATGCGCTTGAAAACCATACAAAATTAAACAATTATTACATTAATGGAACAAAGTTCTGACCTAACAACCACAATTGAATTTCAAGATAGATAATGATTTTTTTTTTTTTTTCTCTTTTTTTTCTGAAATAATACAATATATTTACAAGACCAATGTACAATATATATAATGTGCAATATATTTACAAGCATATACAAGACCTGGATCAAGAAGACTAACATCTGCGTGATAGCAGTCAGGATTCACTGGCCTCAATGTGGTTGCTAGAACAATAATAACTCCTATGTCAAGCACTGTAAAAATACAAATGGTGGTAGACTTAACAATGGCATCTAATTTATAACCAAATAAAGCTGAGAAAAACTATACATTATATATAATGGTAATAATAAGACACATGTGGTAGAAATACTGCAAATGAGTTTTTTTTTTTTTTTTTTTTTTTTTTCAAAACAACAGAATAACTGCAGAGTGCATTCAATTATAAATTCTGTGGATATCTACACCTAGCTCATCCAGAGCACTATACAACTCTGGCTCTGACTGAAGGTCCGGAACAGGTGAAACTTCATGCGACAAACTATCATCTTGAGAGATATCCTCGTTAACATCTAGCCAATGGACATGTGGTGAGTGCACGGTTGAAACGAGAGGTCTAGATCTAAGATTATAATTGCTAGTATCTGGTTGCTGAACATCAAGTGGTCTGTCAACCACAGAAGGTGGTGTCCGAGTAGGAGTATCTGTCTGGGTAAGTTCATTGTCATCTTCCTCATCAGTCTCGTCAACAGTCATTTTAGCTAACTTCATGTGGTCTAAATGTTCATTTATATACTCTCCTGTTAACAAGTTCTTAAGTCTGTATTTGTTACCTTTAATAAGCTCGATTACCTTATATGGACCCAAAAATTTCTTAGTTAACTTGTACATAGGACCAGACCTGTGTTGGTTAAGTATCATTACTACAGATCCAATAGTTATTTTACTGGGTTTAGTTCGTGCATTTCTTGCTAGAGTGAACTCGGCTGTTGCTTTGGACAGTTGTTCTCGTATTTTCTTGAATACTAATTGCATCTGTCTACGCTTCACTTGAACAAAATCATCTACGTTATATAAGGGAGTAGGAGGTACGTTAATCAATTCATTAGGGAGGATCTTATCTGTACCATAAAGAATAGCGTGAGGTGTGTCACCAGTAGAAACATTAATTGAAGAATTTATAGCACACTGAATTAAGGGTATAAAATCATCCCAATTGTTGTTATCAAAATTCAACGTGACTCTCAAGGCATCTAACACTTTCCTGTTAGTACGTTCAGCTAGTCCATTACTTGCCGGATGATAAGGCATGATGCTACATTTTTTGATGTTATATAATTCACACAAGCTAGTTAGAATACTATTACTGAATTCTGGTCCATTATCTGAAAGGATTACTTTAGGCATACTATATCTACAAATTATTTGGTCATGGAATGCGCTGGCTATGGTTTCTGCTGTTTTGTTCGGGATAGGAACTAGTTCGCAAAACCGTGAAAAATTATCGACCATTACAAGCAAATGTTTGTTCCCTTTCTCTGTTTCCGCAAAATTTGTCAATAAATCCATCGATATTCGTTCCCAAGGAGCTTTAGTTGCTGGGTACACCTGAATTGGATTAGGTCCTGAAACATGTCCCTTGTGCTGTAAACAAGTTAAACATCTGTCAACATAATGAGCAATCTCCTTAGCCATTTTTGGCCAAAAATATTTCAATCGACCTTGTTGGAGTGTACGATCCTTTCCTGGATGTGCACTTGCAGGAGCATCATGGATAATTTTTAACACAGTTGGTACCAAGACAGCTGGAACAACTAACTGACAACATTTCCTCGGGGCTGTCCCTAGCTTTACTACTCTACACAGTAAATTGTCCAACATAACTAGTTCTTTCAATGGTACTGGCGGTTTATGAATCGGGCGAGTGTCTTGCTTAGTCAAAAATTTAATGACGGGTGCCCATATGGGGTCTTGTCTTTGTTCCGTTTCTACTACTGTAGCATCTAATGCTGGGTAATTTAACTGAATCGCAGCTACGTGTCGAGAAAACGCATCGGCTACAACATTTTGCTTTCCTGGAATATATCCAAATGTGGGATTGAATTCTTGAATTGTGAGCAAATATCTAGCAAACTTTCCAACTGGATTCTTATTTTTGAACAAGGGAATTAATGGTTGGTGATCTGTAAGAACATGAACTGGGTAATTATAAATTGTATCCTTGAAATGTTTAAGTGCCCAGACAACTGCCAAGGCTTCTCGTTCTGTTGCACTATAATTTTTCTCTTCTTTAGATAAAGTATGGCTAGCATAAGCTATTGCGTGATCTCTGTGACCTTCTGTTTGAAGTAATGCAGCACCTAAACCTATGTCACTAGCATCTGTAACCAACGTAAAAGGTTTAGAAAAATCTGGGTACCTAAGGACAGGTGACGAAATCAAGGCTGCTTTGAGTTTTTTTGAATGACTGATCCTGGGCCTCTCCCCAAACAAAGGGTTCATCTTTTCTTTGCAACTTGTAAAGCGGAGCGGCTATAATAGAGAATCCAGCAATAAATGCACGATATAATCCTACAAGACCTGTGAACTGTCTTACGGCTTCTGCGGTACGAGGTGTTGGAAAATCACGGGCAGCAATAATTTTTTATTCATTCAATGTAATACCTGAAGGTGTAACTGTATGACCTAGGAAATTAATCTTCTGCTTTAAAAATTAACATTTTGCAAGCTTTATTTTTAAATTAGCTTCAGCGAGATTTGCAAGTACTTTCTCAAGGTTCTGGAAATGAGTCTGAACATCTTGCGACATGATTATGAGATCATCAAGGTAAACTAGAAGCGTACTTCCTATCAATCTACGAAATAGATTTGTCATGAGCCGTGAAAAGGTTATTGGACTACTACGCAAACCAAACGGCATTCTTTTGAAATGAAAATGACCATTGGGAGTACTAAAGGCTGTCAATTGTTTACTTTCCTCATCAAGGGGGATTTGCCAGAATCCCTGCAACAAATCTAACGTTGAGAATACTTTGTTTCGACCAATACTTTGCAACAAATCATTTAGAACTGGAAGTGGGAAACGATCAGGTATTGTTACTCTGTTAAGCTTGCGATAATCGATTACAGGTCTCCAAGTCCCATCTCGCTTTGGTACAAGAATCAATGGAGCGTTCCATGGCGAATTACTCGATTCAATTACATCACTCTGTAACATTTCTTCTACAAGTCTATCTGCTTCTGCTCTCTGAGAATGGGGAAGACGGTAAGCTGGTACATAAATAGGCGTAGTTCCTTGTTCAAGGGGAATTTTATGTGTAATGAGAGGAGTGAGACCTAATTTTACGCCTTATTCACTTTAATTTTTTACTTTATTCACTTAAATGTCTATTGTTGTCCCCTAACTCCCCTTACCACTTCGGGGGGGTATAGGGTGTTTATGTAGCTTCAGGGCACCAATCCCCCCAGCCACAGGGCATGGCGAGAAGGCACCCCTAAGCATACCTAATACCCTATCAAACACAAACTAAAATACACATAAATGGCAGATCTCATCACAACCCACAAGAGTTAAGATGATAATAATAACACAATAATAACATGAAAATAGCATACACAAAATTAAAAATTATTTTGTATATGGTTTTTCTCATATGGGACACGGCACACAAAGGGAAAGGTGCACAGTATATCATTAAAAAAAGAACTAAAGCTGAAGGCAAAACAACAAGCTGCCTAAGCGGCAGGATTGGTGACTTGACATCGGCATACATGGAAAAAACTATTCATAGTGGAAGCTCCTAACAAGGCCCCGGAGCGGGAGGGATATCATGTATGCGCATGGGGGTCCCTGCGGACCCCTATGAGGCAATAGGGATGACCTGGCCTTACCCACTCGTGGGTTCCGGACAGGTCATCCCTTAAGGACAAGCGTTTCTTTACCAACAAAAATAAACTTTACTCAGAGCAAGTGACACTTCACTAACGGTGTGACTCATTCTGTCAATAATGTTAATTTCTAATTCGCCAACGGTACGTGTTAGTCAGTGACTACAGAGTCCTGTTTCGAAAGGTCCCACGCTGCAAACAGGAAGTCCCTCGCCGTTATCAAGTCCCATTTCAACAAAATAAGTTTGGCGCTAGTCACGGTAAGTCCCGTACGTAGCTATAACAGCAAGGCCGTCCCTTCCAACATGCGCTCTTGGTGTTGTTTTTCTTAATTTACACACACACACACACACACACACACACACACACACACACACACACACACACACACACACACACACACACACACATGGAAGTAAGAATATCATTCATTTTCATGTGTATGATCTCTGATG